GACCTGTGCCCAAGTCAATTTAGGGTCAACGTTCTTAATTTCACTGCTTAGGCTCCGCCGCCACGAGCCTCTGGGTCTGCCTCTGCTGCGATGTCCTGCTGGATTCCAGTCAAGTGCTTGCTTGCAGATTTCGTTTCCGCTCCGTCGTAGTGTGTGGTCAACCCACCTCTACTTCCGTTCACGAATTTCTGTCTCTATCGGCTTCTGATGGCACAAACGATGAAGCTCGGAATTTGAGATCCAATTGTGGGGCCACCAGGCACGAATTATGTACCGCAGGCATCGGTTGATAAACACCTGCAGCTTCTGAGTGTTCTCCGCTGATACACACCATGTTTCACTGGCGTATAACAGCACAGACTTCACGTTCGAGTTAAAAATTCCGATTTTGGTGCGTCGACTGATCTGATTCGCTCTCCATACATTTCGCAAACTGCTTCTCTCCGCTCCTCGATCTTCCTCCAGGTTTCATCGGTGATCCACTCCATCCCCTGAGTACGCAGCTCACCCAGGTTGTTCTCGCTTGTTTCAATAAAGGCTTTCTTGATGCTCGTCTACTGTTCTTCTACGCTGCCACCTTCCGGAATATTAGCTGCGCGAGCCTCGAGTTCTTCGACGAACGATCTCTTCACTGCTGGGTCTTCCAGTCAGCGTGTGTTGAATCGCCGCCCGAGTCTCTCCTCCTGCCGTTGAACCCGCGCAATGCGTAGGCGGATCTAACTGACCAGGAGATGATGGTCAGACGCGATGTCAGCGCTGCGTTTATTCCGAACATCAAGAAGGCTCAGTCTCCATTTTCGGCAGATGAAGATGTGGACGATTTGGTTCTCTGTAAACCCATCACGGGACACCCATGTGACTTTATGCACTGGGCGATGGGGGAACTCTGCAAGCAGCTCGCCGTTCTCGCTCATATCTCCGAGACCATGGCGTTCCATAATGCGCTCATAGTCCGAGTTGTCGAAGCCGATCTTCGCATTGAAGTCGCCTGTGTAGATCTTGATATCACCTCTTGGAATCTTATCCACGACCGCATTCAGTTGACTGTAAAAGTTCTCTTTGTCCTGCAATTCGGCAGCTCCACGATGTTGCGGTGCGTTTTCACCTCGCATACCAGAATATAAAAGTACCTGTCCCGAAGGCAGCTTGTGTTCTCCAAAGGTCGGCCAGCGGACTTCACTAAGTCCCAGGATTTCTAGCTTCATACGGTGGGCATACTGGCGAGTTGTGCCAGTTTACCCTGTTGGGCTAGCGTCAGTTCATTCCATGTTCCAATTCTTGTCCCGTTGTTTAGCGCTAAAAGTCGTTGCCATAAAATCAGCTCGTAATCTTTCACTATAGCTTTCTGTAACAATTTGAAGGTTTCGGAGACAGTAGGTGGTTGGCTTAAGGTTTCCTATCCGCCGTAATGGGACTACCATCTTGGGTATAGCTTTCGGGGAAAATTCATTTCGTATTGAGCCGCTGGATGCCAGTCAGTCGCTGTTTGAGCCGCCCATGGAGAACAGACGCTCGGGTTTTGTAAGCCACATCCTCCGAAAACGATATAGTAGTAGTTCTTAGAATTTCGTAAAAATTGGTAGTTTTTTTTCCTTATCGCATTCCTTATTAGACCCGTATTATTTTATTTTGTCATTAGGGTGTACATTTCCATGTTAGGGTGGTCCAATAATTTTTTTTTTCAAATTTTTTCAAGCATAACTTTTAAACCACCAGTCAAAATTTCAAATGAAAGGTAATTAAATATATATTTTTTTATAAAATACAGTGATATTAAAAAAAAAAAATTTTGTTGGAAAACATTGATTGAATTTGTTTTTCTTTATGGTTTTAATGGTTTGTAGATAGAGGCCGCAATATGTTTTGTTTTATATTTTATCTTAAAAATTTAGGCATTTTTACACATTATATCACAAAATCAGCTATGAGTTTTTTCTCGTTTTTGTATTACATTTTTTTTTTGAAGTAATCAAGTTTTGGGTTTTCGCTCAATACTCCTATGCGACTAGACCACCGACAAACCGACATGAATGACCATAGCTCAAACAATAAAATTTCTGACTAAAGCACACTACTGACATCTGGCTCCGTGTTCGCGGGAAATATTTAGCTAAACCATGAACCCGCATGCAAAAGTTATGAATTGGCTCGAATCTGATCTATTCTGGACATATTATTTTTATCTAGATCAAAAAATCCCATGGTTTTGACAGTTTGGATCACTGCACATTTAAATCGGCCGTTTCTGATTTTCGGACATAAGTCAGAATTAAGTGTCATGTCAGTTTGTCGGTGACTAGACTACCAAATACCGTGGTAGAGGTAACAATAGCTGCAATTTCAAAACCTACGACTGGATGGCTTCCTTCAGATAACAACTGGAGTGCGGTAAAAATGGGTAGAACTGTTTCAAACACATCGCCGGTACATGAGTGGGTTGGTGATCATCTCTTTTTGCAAGTGGTGACGGGGGGGGGGGACACCCCTTACCATCCCTCTCCAAAGGGGGAGTTTGGTAAAGAGAGATGATAAAACTGATTTATACCTTCCCAAAAATTGTCTAGCTTGCTTTCTACTCTCTATATGTAATTTTCACACTGCTGTACTAAGAGATGATCTAGCCATATGGCTAAAAATGTCTATAATAAAGAAGACAAAAAAACACTGCTGTACTTTAAACGGAACTATCAATTATATACTTTCATCTCCTCATTTATCATATAAAAATGACCACTTTAGTCTGTTATTTGAAATTAGTATCTTCAACTACCAAACAAAGTTATTTTTGAAAAAATCGATTTTTTGGACCACCCTAAAATGGAAATGGTCACCCTAATGACAAAAAAAAACGGGTCTAATATTATGCAATAAGGGACAAAACTTCCAATTTTTACGAAATTCTGAGAACCCCCATATCGTTTATTATCATACTTTGCCCAATACTTCTTGAAACATGTATGAAATTGTGATGAAAAATGGAAATATTCCTGCTTTTCCCGCTTTTATGCGAACTGGGCAAAGTTGTGGATCACCTGTGCTACCTATAGTCGCTATGTTCATAGTCTGGCGGATAGAATCTGGGGAACCAATTGAGACATCAGTGATTGCAAACAAAACTTCGGCAACTCTTTTCTCATGATTCAAGACTCGCCAACGCAAACTAACACCATCTTTGGGTTGAGGAAAGTTTCCCCTATCCGATGATGTCGATAATTTGTTCTCGATTGGCGAGGAAAGAATAGTCAACGTTTTGTTTATAAAAGTTGATAGTGCCTTTTCAATTGTTGGTCTACAATATATTGAATTGGTTCCGCTTTTTGATAGATTCAAATTCTATGCGCCAGACTATAAATATAGCGACTATAGTGCTACCATGGGAAGGAAAAGGTTAAAAAAGGTAGAGACAATGTATGTTTGAGGACATATACTGACTTGCGGTTACCGGCAGTATGCGCTTCTATGACCAAAATTGCATATCAAAAAAACACAATGAGACTCATTTTGGCATCCAGATATAACTGCACCCCTAAATTAGATAGAAAATATTACAAATTAAGAATTACGCTTGCAAATTTACTCGAGTTAAATTTATAAAATCTAGGACATCTTTGAGAACTTCAGGAAACTTCTGAGAACTTCGGGAAAATAGCAAAAACTCCAGAGAAGTTCAATGAACATCAAGATGAAGCAGAAACATATTATATATGATTATTATCTGCTTTATGTCAAGATCAAAAGAGGTGATTATTTTACAATTAATTCCACTTAATATTTTGTATGGAGAATATATGTCATGAAGATACATATTTCGACTACAATTTGTAGTTTTCATCAGTGTCATTCCCACTATTGATTGAAATCTAACCCTGCCCTATTCAGATTCAATTAGTAAAACAAAAATTTAAAAATCCCAGCGAATGACAGCAAATGAGCTTTGCATTCCATCTTAACGTGGGTTTATGAGTGTTAATGACCTGTGTTTCTGCATTTTAAAAGTCCGGAGAACTTTTAGATTTGGGCGTAATTTCTTTTGCAAACAAACATGTCAATCGCTGATTTCTCGCGAATAAAAGAACAAACTATACCAAATTATAAAGGAACCATTCATCCATCTGTTTGTGTTGTTAGTTTTTGAGATTGAGCTTTAATTCGCAAGAAATCGTCAAATGAAATTTTGTTTACAAAAGAAATTACGCCCTAATCTCAGGAAGAGCTACTCAAGCACATATTTGCTTTCAATGTTGGCGATAACGACGGTGAAACCCAGACTCGAGGAGGACTATAATACATTGGATAAAATTGATTGGCCACTTCTTCTTCTTCTTCTTCTTCTTCGCATTTCAAGCTTATTGCATATCGCATATTAGCTTATTGCGTGTTCTCAACTTAGTGTTCTAGATGCACTTCCACAGTTATTCATTGAGAGCTTTCGATGCCTGTACCATTTTTGCATTGGTATAATTGTGTGGCAAGTCCAATCATACTTCTATGGCCAGGGAAGTCGAGAAATTTTCCTACCCGAAAAATTTCTAGACCGAACCGGGAATTGAACCCAGCCACCACCAGCATGGTCTTGTTTTGTAGCTGCACCTTTACCGACTGAGCTAAGGGAGGCCACTTGTAGGGGTTGAAACACGGAGCCAGATAAAATCCTTCATGAATAATGAACGTCAGTATAATAAAACCTACATATTCATGTATTTAATTTCAATCATATTGTCGTATTTCGTTAAGAGGGAAGATCGATGAAAAAAAAACATTCATTGGTTAATAGGACTACTTTGAAAATTGATTTTAAAGTACAATTTCTTTTCTGCAATTCAGGAACGGGAAAATGCAATGCAAAAAGGCGGAGCTAGTATAATTTCACCCTCTATGCTCTGCTACAGCCAATCAAAATGAACACTCAGTGAATGAACTTTTCATATCCTTTCGGTATCAGAGATATGACCCGCATGGACCAGTCGTCGAAAGACACCGATACTGACTAGTTGATTACCGACTACTCTGCATATACTTGCTAATTTGAGAACTTAAGTAATGCTTTGGAAGGACACCACAAGTGATCAAAGTAGCAAAAGTGATAAATCTGCCAATCAAAAAGTTTTTACCCTTCAAAAATCGACCATGTCCAACCACCAGAAGCTTCCATCTACCAAAGGATTACTGACGGTGTTTGAAAATGCTAATGCAAGTGTGATGGCCACGGCCCTGGTTTCAACGCCGATAGAAACCAAACAAGATTGTGTATTTAGTGGAGGATCGTCGATTGAGGGATCCATTAGCAACATGGCGTCGATATACGAATCCGACGAAGATATCTCCGATTTTTCGTCAAACGATAGCGATGGAATGGAGGACAATTCGCGATATTCGTCGGTCGATGAGAAGAACGGTTGGTTGCGGATTTGTTTTAATTGATACGAATGGTTATAAAACAGATGGAATTCACTAGGGTGTCATACGGCTTTGTCCTGCCCTATACTTATTCCCACATGGGGATAGGATATGTATTCTTGAGCAGTCATTTTTTGCATACGCATCTATCTCATATTAGGGGACCTTTTTCTCACAATTGAAACAAACTTTTTAATTAAACAATTCTGTAAAATTTCTGTAAACCGCATTCCAAACCCATTCGTTTGAAAATCCAATGAGATGTTTTGTGATTCATATGCTTAGCTCAAGAGTAGGGTGCTTCATTCTGAAAAAAGTGATGAATTTCTGATGGGCCACCCTCCAGTTCGATTCATAGCCCCAAAATATGAACCTGTGCAAAAATTGGTAAAGATTGATGAAGGTTTAGAGGTCGCGCCAATGATTTGAAATTTGTATGGGAATTACTATGGAAGAATTTAAAAAATCGCTTATATCGCTATAACTTTGCTTCTACTTGTCCAAATGTCGAAAAAATTTAGTATGTTATTGCTATGGCAATAAACAAAAAGCCTACAGTTGCTACGCTCAGTTTTGCAGCGTATCAAGAATTATAAAAATGTGAAAAAATGGCAAAATAGGGTAAATTGACAGATGAATATGTACAAGGCAACAACGCCAATTTCATCGCAACAACAACAGGCTTGTTGATCATTGTCATGACAACCACATATATTTTTTTTTCAACGTTTGGACAACTACAACCAAAGTTAGAGCAATGTAAACGAAAATCAATAATTTCCCATACTAATTCACCAAAATCTCCATACAAAATCCAAATCATTGGCGCGACCTCTAAACCTTCATCAATCTTTACCATTTTTTGCACAGGTTCATATTTTGGGGCTATGAATCGAACTGGAGGGTGGCCTATCAAAAATTCATCACTTTTTTCAAAATGAAACACCCTACTCAAGAGTTTAGCATTAAACTAATCAATGCTGGAAGCAGCGAGTTCGATTTCGTCTCTCATATTTTCATGTTGTAAACATTACAGTACACTATTTACCTAAAACAAATTATTTAAATCCAAATAGTTTATTTCTCCTAAATACGGCAGAAAATAAGAAATTCAGTTGAAAAGTCGTGGTGCCTAACTTCAGGTAATGGGTTATGACTATTTTTTAAATTTGCATAGTGATCAGTAAATCCCAATTAGCAAGTTTTCGAAATGTTTCTTGTTGTGCAATAGACATTTAAATTAAGCATAAAACTAAATGCGATTGAACCAAACGGATTACTAGGTACAAAGGCAGCAAATGCACTCTACGAACAATTGACTTGAAATTCTAGACAAAACTCTTCTAAAGTTCCATAACTCCGTAGGATTTTTTCTTTGAAATAATTTATCTATCTATTGTGGATATTAAAAAAATTAATTTCTCTAGTGCTATTTATCCCTAGAGTTTATTAAAATTTCTTCAAAATTTCTTTAGAATTTTCATCAAATTTCTGTTTCATTCAAATTGTTTTTATATGTTACTTCATACGCGAAGTTTGCGATTTTCAGAGTTGGTTGGAAATGCTGTCTAACATGAAGCTTTAGTGAGATAATTTATTAGCTAGAGAATGGTCTTAGAAGAGGGTAGGTAAATAATTCCGTTAGAGTACGGCAGTATGAAAATTTAATAGAAGTTGAAAATGAGCGAACACTCTTAGCAACGACTACCTGTAATTATCGGTAAAAAAATATCGGTATTTTTTACCGATAACATTAGTTACTTTTTACTTTAAACCGGCTATTGTTTACTATAAATTAGATAATTTTTAACGTTAATTATTGATAATCCATGATTACCGATAATTTAGGTATGTGCACTTTCTTCGATTATCGGTAATTTTTACCGACATCTAGGTATTTTTAACCGACTTTAAAGTATGTGCATCTTAGCGTGAAGGGCCAATAATGCGACAGTGCAAGTCAAACGCACACTTCTTTGCCAAGTATGTCTTCAAATCTACAGGTAAAAATGTATGCGCTTGACTTTGTTGATATACTGTCTGCGGCTGTGGAATAGTTCTAGCGACGATTCATCACTACCTGGTGTTTGTTGTAGTGTAGCACAAGAAGACATCCGAAGAACTTCGAGACTAGGGCGTAATTGCTTTTGTAAACAAACATGTCAATCACCGATTTCTCGCGAATTAATACCCCGTTCACATTACAGCCTATATCACGTAATATAGGCTGTCTTCAAATATATCATATTAACAATATGATCCATTCATGCCTTTTCCAAATATTGCAATGACGACCCGCAAAATATTGCTTCACGCACCATCTAGCGTTGAAAAAGGTTAGCAACAATCATTCAATTACAATCGAGGGGTGCGAATATAGCACTTATTACAAAAGTAAGAGTCACATTATTTTCATTAATTACATTGTGTATATTACTTTAAAATATGTCTGACATGTCACTGTTGTCATCAAATAAAATAATATGCTGAAATACATTCATTTGAAACATTAAACAAATTTTCATTTGGTTTACCCCTCGTGGCGATAAACAAATACATTGGTAGCCTTTTTGGCCACAGAGGTGCTTTCATCGCTAAAAATTTGGTTCGCCAGCTTAGCGAAAGAGTGGATTATATTGTTAATATAATATATTTGCTGTCTTGCAATGAGCACTTATACATAGGATTTCCAGTGAAAACTAGATGTATGAGTGCTCATTGCAAGACAGCGTATATCACGTGATATACGCTGTAACGTGAACGGGGTATAAAGCTCAATCTCGAAAACTAAGAACACAAACAGGTAGAGGAATGACTCCTCTATCATTTGGTATAGTTTGTTTGCACGATTGGGCTAGGGGCAAGCCAGCTGTACTCCGAGTTAATATTATGGATCTAGTAAATTTGAGTTACTCATAATTACGCAAAATTAATCAAAGTAGTCCTACACGCTAAGATGCACATACCTTAAAGTCGGTAAAGAATACCTAGATATCGGTAAAAAATACCGATAATCGAAGAAAGTGCTCATACTCAAATTATCTGTTATCATGGATTACCAATAATTAACGTTAAAAATTACCTAATTTAAAGTAAAAAGTAGCCTATTAATAGTAAAAAGTAACGATTTTTATCGGTAAAAAATACCGATAATTTTTTATCGATAATTTAAGGTAATCGTAGCTAAGAGTGTATGTCAACAAGTGAAAACAGTTTGAATACACATCATCTGTCATCAGTTTGAGTAAACATCGACTGCAATCCAACGAGCGCTTGTGATTATAGTCGCTATATTCATAGTCTGGCGAATAGAATTTTGGGAACCAATTGAGCTGCCAAATAGCGGAACCAATCGAGCAAATCACGACCAACAACAGAAAAGAGCACATAAGTTATTACGAACAAAACTTCGGAACCCTTTTCTCGTGACTCAAGACGCGTCTACGCAAATTAATACCATCTTTGGGTTGGGGAACGTTTCCCCTATCCGATGATGCTGGTAATTTGCGTTCGATTAGCGAGGAAAGAATAATCAACGTTTTGTTTATAAAATTTGATAGTACCTTTTCAATTGTTGGTCTACCTTATATTGAATTGGTTCTGATTTTTGATAAATCGAAATTCTATCCGCCACACTATGAATATAGCGACTATACTTGTGATGAGGTTTCGGAACGATTCCGATGAAGGCGGATGATACTGTACCTATCCTATCATCAAAATGGTGGAACAACCGTCATACAGTACGACTGCCTGTGTAGTGAGATGGCAGTTTGGTGGTGGCCTGGTATGGCAGTTCCGTTGATATGTGGAACTGTTTCCGATGCTCAAGTGCAGGAAACTGACTATGTCGGTCGTTGGCGACAAGGCCGCACTTTTTCGTACCAATAAATGGATTCCTTCTTAGCGATTAGGGACGTCGAATAAACATCGCAGAACTTTTCAACCCAAAACCTGCGACTGCGTGTCACCATTTCGCTAAAATCTAAGATTTTCATCCTATATGTGTCATTAGTTGAGTTGAGACAAGTATTTCACCAAGGAGAGCATGAGTTACCTATTCAAGAAGGATGGGAATCTTTTCTTCGAGTAATAAAATAATTAATATGAATAGAGAATGCCAGTTTCTTGTTTTCATTAAATCCCCAGCCAATCCTTGCATTTTGCAAATATCATCAACAGGATTTATTTAATGCTATTTCTTTAATGTATACTGTAACATGTCCAGTTGCAATAATAAAAAAATAATGAATATAATCTGTAACCCTGAAACTACAACATTGCTGCATTGAGTTTTACCACTGCCCCAGTACAAATCATTGGAATATTTTGAGAGCCATGGTTATTTCAGGAGAGGGCCAAGCAAACCAAATGTCTTCCAGTAAATATTCATAGATGTGTGACTAGAAGGCATATTTTAATATGAAATCGGTATGGAACAATTAAGCGTTTAGAATTGGTCTATTACCTATAATAGGTAATTAGTACATTTCGAAGGACGAACAATTTCGTTATTTGAGGATGATGTTCCGGTATGAAACACGGTTATATGATATTGTGGTTTAACAAGTGGGCAAGGAGCACAACAAAACATGGTTACTGAGTCTGCTTGCATTGAATTTCGAGCAACTCGAGTAACTCAGAGTAAATCAAAATTAAATCCGTTCTAACTCATGATTAAAAGCTGTCTTACCCATATAGATTGAGCTTTTATTCGCGAGCAATCGGCGATTGACGTGTTTGTTAAGTTCTCCGGACATGAGCACCTCGTTGGACACTTTGTGAATGACAATGGAGCATTTCCAGCCCAAAACGCAAACCGGTTGGACATGAGTGTTTCCGGTTATAAAGAAACATTACTCATATGTTCGCTGTTAATGGTTGTATTTTTCATTTAAATATGAATTTTTTCTTCACAATAACTTTTAAAAAAGGCGTTAAAAAAAAGGATTATATTTTTTCAAAAAATTATAACATGAAAACAATTGATCTGATTAA